AGGGTCAGTTTGTTTATTTCAGATTTTTCTTGTTTCTTGAGGTAGGATTGTATTGCTATAAAGTTCCCTCTTAGAACTGCTTTTGCTACGTCCCATAGGTTTTGGATCTTCGTGTGTTCATTGTCATTTGTCTCAAGGTATTTTTTGATTTCCTCTTTGATTTCTTCAGTGATCTCTTGCTTATTTAGTAACATATTATTTAGCCTTCATGTGTTTGTGTTTTTACATTTTCTTCCCTGTAACTGGTTTCTAATCTCATAGCGTTGTGGTCGGAAAAGATGCTTGATATGATTTCAATTTTCTTAAATTTATCAAGGCTTGATTTGTGACCCAGGAGGTGATCTATCCTGAAGAATGTTCCATGTGCACTTGAGAAGAAAGTGTAATCTGCTGTTTTCAGATAGAATGTCCTATAAATATCAATTAAACCTATATGGTCTATTGTGTCATTTAAAGCTTGTGTTTCCTTATAAACTTTCTGTCTGGATGATCTGTCCATTGGTGTAAATGAGGTGTTAAAGTCCCCTACTATTATTGTGTTACTGTCTATTTCTCCTTTCACGGTTGTTAGTATTTGCCTTATGTATTGAGGTGCTTCTATGTTGGGTGCATATATATTTATAACTTTTATATATTCTTCTTGGATTAATCCCTTGATCATTATGTAGTGTCTTTCCTTGTCTCTTGTAACATTCTTTATTTTAAAGTCCATTTTATCTCATATGAGTATTGCTACTCCAGCTTTCTTTTGATTTCCATTTGCATGAAATATCCTTTTCCATCCCCTCATTTTCAGTATGTATGTGTCCCTAGGTCTGAAGTGTGTCTCTTGTAGATAGCATATATATGAGTCTTGTTTGTATCATTCAGCGACCTTGTGTTTTTTCGTTGGAGCATTTAATCCATTCACATTTAAGCTAATTATCAATATGTATGTTCCTATTACCATTTTCTTAATTGTTATGGGTTTGTTTTTGTAGGTCCTTTTCTTCTCTTGTGTTTCCCACTTAGAGAAGTTCCTTTAGCATTTGTTATAGAGCTGGTTTGGTGGTGTTGAATTCTCTTAGCTTTTGCTTGTCTGTAAACCTTTTGATTTTTCCATTGAATCTGAATGAGATCCTTGCTGTGTAGCATAATCTTGGTTGTAGACTCTTCCCTTTCATCACTTTAAATATATCGTACCACTTGCTTCTGGCTTGTGGAGTTTCTGCTGAGAAATCAGCTGTTAACCTTATGGGAGTTCCCTTGTATGTTATTTGTCATTTTTCCCTTGTTGCTTTTATTAATTTTTCTTTGTCTTTAATTTTTGTCAATTTGATTAATAATGTGTCTTAGCGTGTTTCTCTTTGGGTTTTTCCTGCCTGGGACTCTCTGTTCTTCCTGGACTTGGGTGGCTATTTCTTTTTCCATGTTAGGGAATTTTTCAACTATAATCTCTTCAAATATTTTCTCAGGTCCTTTCTCTTTCTCTTCTCCTTCTGGGACTCCTATAATGTGAATGTGCATTTAATGTAGTCCCAGAAGTCCCTTAGGCTATCTTCATTTCTTTTCTTTCTTTTTTCTTTATTCTGTTCCACTGTAGTGATTTCCACCATTCTGTCTTCAGGTCACTTTTCCATTCTTCTGCCTCAGTTATTCTGCTATTGATTCCTTCTAGTTTATTTTTCATTTCAGTTATTGTATTGTTCATCTATTTTTTTTTGTTCTTTAATTCTTCTAGGTCTTTGTTAAACATTTCTTGCATCTCCTCGATCTTTGCTTCTACTCTTTTTCCAAGGTCCTGGATCATCTTCACTATCATTATTCTGAATTCTTTTTCTGGAATGTTGCCTATCTCCACTTCATTTAGCTGTTGTTCTGGGGTTTTATCTTGTTCCTTCATGTGTTACATAGTACTCTGCCTTTTCATTTTGTCTATCTTTCTGTGAATGTGGTTTTCATTCCACAGGTTGCAGGATTGTAGCTCTTCTTACTTATGCTATCTGCCCTCTGGTGTATGAGGCTATCTAAAAGGCTTGTGCAAGCTTCTTGATGGGAGGGACTGGAGGTGGGTAGAGCTAGACGTTGCTCTGGTGGGCAGAGCTCAGTAAAACATTAATCCACTTGTCTGCTGATGGGTGGGGCTAAGTTCCCTCCCTGTTGGTTGTTTGTCCTGAGGAGACCCAGCACTAGAGCCTACCCAGCTCTTTGGTGGAGCTAATAGTGGACTCCGGGAGGGATCACACCAAGGATTACTTCCCAGAACTTCTGCTGCCAGTGTCCTTGTCCCTGTGGTGAGCCACAGCCACCCCCTGGCTCTGCAGGAGACCCTCCAATACTAACAGTAGTTTTGATTGAGTCTCCTATGGGGTCACTGCTCCTTCCCTCTGGGTCCTGATGAGCAGACTACTTTGTGTGTGCCCTCCAAGATTGGAGTCTCTGTTTTCCCCAGTCCTAACAAAGTCCTGCAGTCAAATCCTGCTAGCCTTTGAAGTCTGATTCTCTGGGAATTCCTCCTCCCACTGCCGGACCCCCAGCTTGGGAAGCCTGATGTGGACCTCAGAACCTTCAGTCCAGTGGGTGGTCTTCTGTGGTATAATTGTTCTCCAATTTGTGAGTCACCCACCCAGCAGTTATGGGATTTGATTTTATTGTGATTGTACTCCTCCTACTGTCTCACTGCAGCTTCTCCTTTGTTTTTGGATGTAAGGTATCTTTTTTGGTGAGTTCCACTGTCTTCCTGTCGATGATTGTTCAGCAGTTAGCTGTGATTCTGGTGCTCTCACAAGAGGGAGTGAATGCACGTCCACCTATTCTGCCATCTTGAACCAATCTCTAGAAATCTTTTTAAGAATAATTTAAGTAGTCAGTTTGAATTAAACTTTTACCTGGAAAAAACACTTTTTAACTTTCTTCTCCTCTAGCCAGCAGGTGGCAGCTAACAAGAAGGCAAGCATAGCAGTAGAGAAAATTACACATTTTCTCCACACCAAAATTAGAGTTACATTGCATGATTCTATTTTGTGTTTGTTTACCTATATTAAAAAAAGAGGGCTTCCCTGGTGGCGCAGTGGTTGAGAGTCCGCCTGCCGATGCAGGGGACATGGGTTCGTGCCCCGGTCCGGGAGGATCCCACATGCCGCGGAGCGGCTGGGCCCGTGAGCCATGGCCGCTGAGCCTGTGCGTCCAGAGCCTGTGCTCCGCAACTGGAGAGGCTGCAACAGTGAGAGGCCCACGTTCCGCAAAAAAAACAAAAACAAAAAAAAGAATTCCCTTAACCCTAATTGTCTTATCAACTTCAATCCCTATTTACTTCATCTCCAAATCTGTTGAATTAATTTTCTTCCTGCTAACACCAATTTCCTCCACTTCCATTCTCTCTTCACCTCTACTCTGATTGCTCATCCCTCCTCATCACATTACTACAATCCTTCTTTTCAAGATCACCAATGAGCTGCAAGTTGCCAAGGTCAATGTGCATTCCTCTGCCCTCACTTTACCAATCTCTCAGCACCATCTGGCACAGATGACCTTCCCCCCGCTCTAAAGTAGCTTATTCTGGATTTTAGTATTAGCTTATCTCTTCTGCCTCACTGGATGCAACTTTTCTATTCCTTTTGCTCAGTACTTAACCCAATTACCTTTTCCACGCTCTTCCTGTGTGACCGTCTCTATGTCCATGGCATTTTTAACATACTATCTATCCAGCAATGACTCCCATCTCTTTTCAAGAGTTCCAGACATTATGCTCGACTGTGCCTTTTTTCCTCACACCCCATATCCAATCTCATCAGCAAATTCTTTGGCTCTACTTTTCCAAACCCATACACTTATTACTATCTCCAAGACCACTATCATCTTCCAATCATCAGTAGTTCTCAGCAAGAATATAACCCATTAAGCACTGAACTGGTCTTTCTTTCTATCCCTTTTGTACCATATTCATAATAGCCAGAGTAACTTTGTGACATTTTCTCTTTTAAATTATTTATTTATAAGAAAATAATACAGTTACAGGAATGTTTGTTTGGTATTGAAAAATAAAATGTCTATTGTAGAAGGCAGTTTGACTATCTTGCTCTCATGGTGGAGGCCTACTATGGAGTAGCCATATGTATTAGTTTAACCAGTGTGTGAGGTTTGCATTTTCCCAAAAGCAAATGCATATGTATAAAAGCAGGCTCAGACATAGATTATTTCTTTGAGTACAAGAAAGCTGAGAACAATTTTAAGCAAAAGTTGTTCTTTATAAGAGATATACAGATTGACAGAGATACCTATAGCAGAATGAGAGAAAAGAAAATGATAAAGTATCCCATAAGCACAGTGAATGTTGAACAACTATCTGTTGTTGTTTATGATGAAAAGGCTTTCTAATGGGATCAATGCAATGCCTGGTAGTGAAATTTTTTTCTCATTTTTCCAAAGTTGACAGAAATAAAGGAGTTATTTAGTTGCATGGATTCCATAAAGTTGCATGGATTCTATAAAGTTGCATGGATTCTGTTGAGCTGAAGAGGGTAGATGGACATCTCTTTAGAAAAATGACAACACCTCTGGTCATCCATCTAACAAATGTGTATCATTAATCCAGTGGAGACAGTGAGAAAGAGCATGAATCAAACCAAATCTGAGGTAAAGCATAAACGGTGTTGAGCTGGGAGTTACAGAATCTGAGTACTAGAGACGAATCTCTTATTAATGGGCAGTGTCACCTTGTGCAAGTCTTTAAGCCTCTGGCTGCTTATAAGGTAACTGGACTAGATAAACTTCAAGGTCCTTCTACATTATACTCTTCTAGAATTTATAATTCTAATCCTGCTATTGGAAATCCAACAGACACTGTACTGATTACGGAAGATCAGTAGAATTATCTTCGCATACAAAGAAGGCACAATGCCTTTAGATGTGTGGGGGAGCTATCCAGTGGAGCTGTCCCCTCACAGAGTATTCTGAATCACTTACTGACTGCAACTCTAAAGTTCCCATTACTTACACGAATTTATGCTTCTGGAACTTACCAGGTATCCTTTGCTTGAGGACAAGGAGAGGTCAATTCTTTATTGTAGAGCTGTCTGAAATAAAATGTTGGAAAAGTTACTATGAGGCATAAAATGTCTTAGGTATATACATTATATACAAAACCAGAGCACAAAATTGTCGAATTGTGCTTTCAAAAAGTGTGTATCAGAATATATAAAGCTGGCAATTTAAAAAGTACATGAGGTTATACAATAGATTAGATTTGCTATGGTTTAAAATAAGATTTCTTAAAATACAAGATTCACTATATTCAAGAAAAGGAAAAAAATAAGAGTTTAGGCAATGCATTTGGCCCACAATTTGGATAACAGTTTAAACTAAGGCTTACAGCTCTGCAGGAAGGTGGAGCTCCCTGAACAAATGAAATGTAGGCTCTGAGAAAGCTTATCTTTTATGGAACATTTTGGAGGAAAGTGCCATGAGCTAAAGAAGTACCCCAGTTAAAGAAACAGTGTAGTGATAGGCATATGATAGCAAAAAATAGAGTCATCTAGAAGGAGAAAGTACCCTCGTTAAAGTGAGGCCCTTGGATAACATGGTAAATAACAAAAATTAAGATGTTATCACTGACTTAGTACCTCCTACATTCCAGGCCAGTACTAAGTACTTTACATTTCCCATTCCATTTCACCCTCACAGCAAACCTAGGAGTTATATAATATTATTCCCATTTTGCAGCTGAAGAAACTGATGCTTAAAAAGATGAGGTAATTTTCAATAGTGACAAAGGTAGTATGAAACAGAGTAAACAGTAAAACTCAGGCCCATCCAATTTCTAAGCTAATGCGGTTTCAGTTACTTTAAGCTACCTAAACGGCTAAAACACCATTATTCTGAGAAGAAGTTGTATAGGAGAAAAAAGAAAAGAAAAGTAAAAAAAAAAAAAAAAAAAAAAAAAAAAACTTGAAGCCAAAGTGATCTATGATAACTTAAGAAACTCATTGCTTCTGTAGTATTGGAACAGAAAATTTCAAACTTTTTACCTGAATGAAAAAAAAGCATTCATATATAAACTCCACATTACTAAACGGTCAAAGGAAATGGTTTCGGTTGCAGTTTTGTATTTAATAAAAGCTTGGATATATTTGATTTGAAATTTCAAACATTACCCACCTTATCAAAATACAGCTTTATACATTCCATAAGAAGGCCAAGTACTACTTTAAACAGACTTTATTTTTTTAACCAGAAATTTACTGAACTCAAAACTAACCTGGAAGACAATTTGTTTGGTGTGCATAAACTCTAATTTGTTAATGAAAAAAGGAGACTTTGGTTATTCAATAAGAATTGATAAAATGTTACCAAAATTTTCAGTTGATAAGGGAAAATTGAGTCTATTGCTTATTGCGGTAGGAATGCTAACTAGCTCAACAGAATTTGGGTAGCATTTCAGAGGAGGAACAGCAAAATTGAGATTTCTATGAGGTTTGGCAGCCTGGCTTAAAGCAACATATTTCATCAGGATTGGGGTAAGGTTCATAATATAATAGTTTAGGATTGATGGACAGAGCAAGCTAAGGCTTTAAGGAAAGAGTTTCAAAGGGAGTCTTCAGAAGCAGTCTTTTCATTCTACCTACTGTAAATTGAACAGTCTTATGTTCATTTTAAATGGGCTTCTGGGAAGTTCTTAGAATGAACTATAAAGTTATTTGCAATTTTTCTCTTCCTGAGCAAGAGTTAACTGGATAGTAATGTCATGCTAATGCAGAAAGGAAGTTGGTGGTTGTAGATAGTTTTGGTTCCAGAATCATGAAAATGGAAAATGACTTTAGATGGTTATTTAATTTGTCCTAAGAAAATTAATTCTTTATTACATTTGATTTATTATCAATCTTTGCATAGTTCGAGGAAAACTTTGAAGAACAATTTTTCATGAAGTGTGATTGAGAAACTTTATGTTAAGAGAAGTTTTGATTAAATTCTGTTCATTGCTATTTATAATTGCTATTATTGACAGACATTTTATGATATTTAAATAAATATGATTCTCATTTTACTGTTTTCATCCAGAAACACTGTCTTATGACACAGAAAAAGACATTTCTATGAGCAAATACTTAATTCACCATTTTTTATCCTATCAATAAGACTAATAAACTAATCTACTACTGAACTGCTAAAAGTAGAAAAAGCATAATTTAAAAAATAAAATCAGATGGACTAGATAGATTAGCCTTCAGTTAATTTTTAAACTTAGTTGAAAATAAAGTTAAATGGTTAATGTGGTAAGAACTATAAAAGACACCAAAGTCAATAACACAACAGGGATTAAAAAAAATAAAGAACTATTAGTTCTTACTACTGTTGGTCTCCAAATTGGTACCAGTACCAGAGGGCAAGGAGAGACTGAAGATAGAGGCAGGCCACTCCAGATTGGTAGGTGGTGAGTTTCATAAGCAAGGGAATTTACATATGAGGCTTGCCTTAGGCAGCTGAAAACCACTGGATTGCTGCATCTGCCACCAGAGTCTTAAAAGTGTATACAGAGGCCTTAATTAGGTTCAGTCACCTATTTATTTAGTCCAGATGGTCTCAACAACACCTTACTCTCTCAAGTCTGTGTCCTTGAAAACGGTTCCCACTGTGGGAACAGTGGGCCGAATGTGCATTCCAAAGACAGGGGAGATGGTGAGGAGCCTCCCATGCCCTTGGTCTAGCTCATGGATCAATCCAGTGGTCACGTCCTCTCAATGACCCCCTCCAACAACTACTGATCCCAGTAAGTGTCAGTAAGGAAGTGGTGCTTGAGCTAACCTTGAAGGAGATGAAAGGCATTCCTAAATGAGAGGATAGAAAGGCCCAGTAGGCTAAGAACACAGGCTAATGGGCCAAATGCATTGCCTAAGCTATTATATTTTCCTTTTATTAAATACAGTGAATCCTGTATTTAAAAAACCTTATTGTTTTTTATTTTTATAAATTTATTTATTTATATTTGGCTGCATTGGGCCTTTGTTACTGTGTGTGGGCTTTCTCTAGTTACAGTGAGTGGGGCCTACTCTTCGTTGCAGCTCACGGGCTTCTCATTGAGGTGGCTTCTCTTGCTGTGGAGCACGGGCTCTAGGGGCGTGGGTTTCTGTAGTTGTGGCACGCGGTCTCAGTAGTTGTGGCTCGCAAGCTCTAGAGCACAGGCTCAGTAGTTGTGGCGCACGGGTTTAAGTCGTTCAGCGGCATGTGGGATCTTCCCGGACCAGGGCTTGAACCCGTGTCCCCTGCATTGGCAGGCGGATTCTTAACCACTGCGCCACCAGGGAAGTCCCAAAACCTTATTTTAAACCATAGCAAATCTAATCTATCATACAACCTCATGCACCTTTAAAATTGCCAATCTTTATGTATTCTGATATATACTTTTAAAAAACATTCCCAGTCCCTCAGCTATAAAAAAGAACAAAATAATGTCATTTGCAGCAACATGGGTGGACCTAGAGATTGTCATACTGAATGAAGTAAGTCAGACACAGAAAGACAAATATCATATGATACCGCTTAAAGGTGGAATCTAAAAAAATGGTTACAAATGAACTTATTTACAAAACAAAGTAGAGCCACGGATGTAGGAAACAAACTTATGGTTACCAGGGGGTAAGGAAGGGTAGGGATAAATTGGGAGATTGGGATTGACAGATACACACTACTATATATAAAATAGATAACTAATAAGGACCTACTGTATAGCACAGGGAACTCTACTCAATACCCTGTAATGGCCTATATGGGAAAAGAATTTACCAAAAAAAGTGGATACATGTATATGTACAACTGATTCACTTTGCTGTACACCTGAAACTAACATGACATTGTAAATCAACTATACTCCAATAAAATTTTTTTTAAAAATTACCGTGCTAATGGATTGGGAAGCTCAGCCTGACAGGAAGTTGCTCTTATTGCTTTCTCTTCTTTTTTATAAATTTATTTATTTATTTATTTATTTTGGGTTGCATTGATTCTTTGTTGCTGCACCCAGGCTTTCTCTAGTTGCCATGAGCCGGGGCTACTTTTTCTCGCATGCATGGGCTTCTCATTGTGGTGGCTTTTCTTGTTGCACAGGCTCTAGGCACGTGGGCTTTGGTAGTTGTGGCACGCGAGCTTCAGAGCACAGGCTCAGTAGTTATGGTGCATGGGTTTAGTTGCTCTGCGGCATGTGGGATCTTCCCAGACCAGGGATCAAACTCATGTCCCCTGCATTGGCAGGCGGTTTCTTAACCACTGCGCCACCAGGGAAGTCCCTCTTTCTGTTCTTAAACTTAGTTTCTTTTCTTGGCCGAAAGAAGAAAATCTTTTAAAAAGCAATTCATTTCATTCCATTAAGCTGTTAAATTGGTTATAATGTCAATGGAATATTCAAATGAAACTGTAAATATGTTTTCTCAATAGCGTTTAACACAATTATAAATTAAGTAATTATATATGAGTGACACCTATCTTTTCTGACATGCATCATCTTTGCATCTCTAGTGCCAGGTCCATGGTGTGATTGAATTATTAAATGACTATATCAAATGTATGAGTTAATTTGGTTTGTCTTACAATGGAAGTTTGTTTTTGTCCTCAGAAAATATCCACCTTGAAAGCTAACCACTTTTATACACACACACACACACACACACACGTATATATACACACACACTTATATATATGAGGTAGTTATTGTTTGGGAATCCCAAGTCATTTTTCAAATGCTAAAAACCACTCCTGGTTATAACAGTCAATAAGGCATCCCTGGGCCTTGTAAAATTACGCATTTTTTATATGTTTGTGTTAGCATAGCATACCCTTTAAGTTGCTTTTCTAATTTTACTTGCTAGACTTTATGTTTGTTGTTACTCTTGTGAAATTTTTTTTTCTATGTTTGTCTTATGTTTTGCTATTTTTTCCTGAAGCTAGGTGGTTCATACAAGGATGGAAACCTTGTCCTTTGCTTCAAAAGCACCTGCTCTACACAGGGAATATACTTATTCCAGAGAGAATAAGAATATACTTATTACAAAGGAGTAATTTAGGAGGGATAGAAGATTTCAATAGT